GGTTACTTAAAGTCAAGTCCACATTTTGTACTTCTCCATATCCTTGGCACTTAGTGTGGTGTTGACATATAACAGGGTCTGCATAAATGTTTATTGAGGAAGAGGATTTAATCTTGGAGAGAGCTTTCCACTACTGAGCATGATGGTTACACAGGTAAACTGCTAAAACTGAATTCTCAAAATAATTTGTAAAGCTGCGATTTCACTTCCCCAGGACAGCTTATTATTCTACATGTTTCTTGCCTCTTTTTTCTTGGGCACCGCTGGCTGAATGATGAGGTGCTGAACCTATCACTAGTCTATTGATTCCTGCCTTCCTGCCTTTTTTGTTTTTTCTCTGAAAGCACCCATAACACCACTAATTACCCTAAAGGGAGATGGTGACAACTTGTCTTAATTATCTATTCAGGTTTGCCAAGTAGACTTTTTAGCTTAAAATTGTGAATCTCGTTTATACATTTTTTTTCTGTCTAGGCCAAGATCTTTAGTGGCAGGAAAAACAACAAAGTATCTATGATTTGTCCAAAGAAACTCAGTAGTTTGTTGCTTAGACACTTTGCAAAGCCCCTTCTCCTAAAATGTAACATGGCGGTTGTGTCCAATCCCAGAATTACACTGAAAGCTTGACTCCTGTGATGTGAATTACCTTTCACTCTCCAGAGGAGTGGGAGAAAATGGACTATTTCCTCTTGGGCATGACAGGGAAAATTGGAATTTCTATTGACTCTGCAGCACAGCATATCTATGCTGAGATCTATTTTGGTTCCTGCTTAATCTATTGTTCAAAGTTACCAGTCTATATGATCCAATTAAGCCAGTTGCTTCCATTGAAAAAATAGTTTGCTTTATTTCTTCACTCAGCTAACAGATTCATTTCTTGAACATGATTGCACTTGCTGTGCTGTTGTGTCAGAAGACTGAGTTTCCAATCAAGACTGGGCAAGGAGATGGCCTGGGTTACCCCACCCCTTCTTGTGAGTTAGGGTATCCAAGCTAGAAATGCTGGACAACTTGCATGTATCACCTGAGGTCAGACAACTATGTGAGGAATATGAAGTATGGAGTGTTTCTCTCCAACATAGTTAGGGCTGTCAGATAATTTTTTAGTAGAAGTATGTCCCATGTACATACTTAAATTCTACCTAAATTCATATTTACCTGGACATCCTGTATTTTTTATTTCCTAAGTCCAGCAATCCTAGATAAGATGCTAGAATTGCCCCCAAACAGGCTCCATCCTCTTTTGTCATTTCTCAAAACAAAAAAGATGCTCTAAGGGTCTATGAAAGAATATCTGTGGCACAATAATCTCAAAAATAATAAAATATTTGGGAATAAATTTAACCAAGGAGGTGTAAGATCTCTTCACTGAAAACTATAAGACATTGATGAAAGGAATTGAAGAAGACACAAATAAATGGAAAGGTATCTTGTGTTCATGGATTGGAAGAATTAATATTGTTAAAATGCCCATACTACCCAAAGCAATTTGTAGAGTCAATGCAATCCCTATCAAGATTTCAATGGCATTTTTTACAGAAGTAGAAAAACAATTCTAAAATTTATTGGGGACCACAAAAGACCACAAATAGCCAAAGCAATCTTAAGAAAAAAAGAACAAAGCAAGAGGCATCATGCTTTCTTATTTCAAGCTATATTATAAAGCTATAGTAATCAAAACAGTATGATACTGGCATAAAAACAGACAAATAGACCCATGGAATAGAATCAAGAACCCAGATATAACCCCATGCATATATGGTAAACTAATATTTGACAAGGGAGTTGAGAATATGCAATGGAGAAAACAGGCTTTTCAATAAATGGTGCTGGGAAAATTGGATATTCACATGTAAAAGAATGAAACTAGGCCCTTATACCACTCACAAAAATTAATTTGAAGTGGATTAAAAACTTAAATGTAGTGGGCCGGCTGAGTACCTCAGTTGGTTAAGAGCTTGCTCAAGAGTGAGAGCTCTGAGCAACAGTGGTTCGATGCCCGGCCAGAGCTGAGCTGCTGCTGAGCTGCCAACAGGTGGCAGGATGGCTCAGCTAAAAACAAACAAAAACAAACAAACAAAAAAAACTTAAATGTAAGACTGAAAACCATGGACCTTTTAGAAGAAAAAAATCTCCTCAATATGGGCCTTAGTAATGATTTTTTGGATATGACACCTAAAACACAAGCAACAAAATAAAAAATAAAGGCGGACCACACCAAACTAAAACGTTTCTGCACAGCAAAATAAAGAATTAACAAAATGAAAAGAATGGGGAAAAGTATCTGCAAACCATATATTTGATAAAGGATTAATATGCAAATTATACAAAGAACTCACACAACTCAATAGCAAAAAAACAAAAACAAAAACAAAATAGTTGACCCTTGAACAACACGGTTTTGAACTGCGTGGGTCCACTTACATGCAGATTTTTTTTCAATAAATAGAGCTGGCTCACCCTATCTTCAGGTTTCTTGATTTTAGAAAATGTTCTATCTGTAGTTGGGAATCCAAAGATGCAAAGGACTGAATGTATGCATTATTCTACACCATTTTATATAAGGGACTTGAGCATCTATGAATTTTGGTATCTGAGGGGGGTCTTGGAACCAACCCCCTGCAGACACCAAGAGCCAACTGTAGTTGAGTTTTGGGGGAGTCAAAGTTTAAACAAGCATTTTTGATTGCACAGCAGAAGGGGTTAGCACCCCAACCCCTGAGTCATTCAAGGGTCAACTGTAATTCCATTTAAAAGCAGCAAAGGAGCTGAATAGACGTTTTTCCAAAGAAGATATGCAAATGGCTAAAAAGTACATGAAAAGGTACTCAACATCGCTAATCATCAGAGGAATATAAATCAAACCACAATGAGATATCACCTCACTCCTGTTAGAATGGCTAGCACCATGAAGACAGGAGATAACAAATGCTGGTGAGGATGTGGAGAAAAGGGAAGGGAACCCTTGTGCACTATTTGGGAGATATGGCAAACAGTATAAATTGTCTCAAAAGATTAAAAATATAACTACTACATCATCCAGCAATTCCACTTCTGGAACTATATCCCAAGGAAACAAAAACACTGTGTTAAAGAGATAGCTGCATTCCCATGTTCATAGCAATCATTATTTATAATAGTCAAGACACGTTAACCTACTTAGTGTCCACCCACAGAAGAATGAATAAAGAAATTGTGGTATGTATGTACACACACACACACACACACCCACATGCACACACACAAAATGGAATATTAGTCAACCACAACAGGAGGAAATCCTGTCATTTGAGACAAAATGGATGCATGGACGGATCTTGAGGGCCTTATGCTAAGTGAACTTAGCGGAATATTAAAAAAATACAGAACCCAAACTCGTAGAAAAAGAGACCAGAGTTGTGGTTACCAGGGGCACGGGTGGAAATTGGATGAAGGTGGTAAAAAGGTGCAAATTTCTGGTTATAAGATAAATAAGTCCTAGGGATGTAATGTACAACATGATGGCTATAGTTAACACTGCTGCATGGTATTTGGGAAAGTTGAGATAGTGGGTCCTAGGAGTTCTCACCACAAGGAAAAACATTTTTTTTGTATCTATATGAAACGATGGATATTAAGTTTCTGTAGTAATCAGCGCATGATATATGTAATTCGAACCATCATGCTGTCCACCTTAAACTCACACAGTGCCGTACGTCAGTTATAGCTCAATAAACCTGGAGAAAATAGAATATCTGCAGGCTACTTAGAGATAATCAGAGGCCAGCACAATGTTTAATGATTCTTACTGAACCACCATAACTCAAAATCAACAAAGATCAGACCTGGATGTCAATTTTCATGCCTTCTGTGATAAACTGAATTATATGAAGGGGTCGTGCCAACTGTGATGTGCTGCCCTGTCTCCTCTGCTTGGTTTCTACTTTTATGTGCACCTGTAGACACCCCAATGAGATTATAAACCCACCAGGGCAGAAACTATGTCTTCTTTTTCTCCTGGAATCCCCAAGCCCAACAAAATGTCTGGGCACCTGTAGGTGCTCAGAAGTGTTAACAAATCATAATGAAGGTAAGACCTAAGCACCTTGGTGGAAAGCCAATCTCGTTGGCAGTTTACACTGTGCTCCAGGAATGAGGCCAGAGGCCAGTGTTTTTACCTGGTCTGGAACTAGAACTCGTCTGTGCTTTCGGAAGAGTCTGCCGGAAATGCTCTGGTCTGCTTCAAAATGAACGCCCTGTCCTTGACTCCAACACAGCACCAGCCTCCCCTGCCACCAGTGGACGGCTGCCAGTGTAACTGCACTGGGTCTTGGGAAAAGAAGCCTGAATTAAATAAGACCCTGGCGGAATCAGTGCCTTTTCTTACCTGTTAATGAAGGCTCATTAGAAACAGCAGGATATTCGTGCTGAGAACTGGAAGCAGCAGCCAACCTTGGCTCTGCCCTGACAAAGGATGATGAACGTAATGATTTACGGCAGCTGCTCTTTGAGATTACAGAGCAAAGGAGGCTGGTGTGTGCAGCCCGGCCCAGCGTGTGGTCTGCTGGACAATCAGGAGGGGGAGCACGTCCATTCTCCCCTTCTTCCAATGGCTGAAACAGCTTTCAGGTTCTGGAAAACACGTGGCCATTCAGACACAGAAGCACCTCCTTTGGATGGCTGATCATTGGGGGCCCTCCCCCTGTGTTTAGGTTAGGGATTTTGGTCTTGGCTGGGGGGCAAAAAATTAATCGTAGCAAGTAAGAAAGAAAAGAAACAAACCTCAATGTGTGGTGCATCCAACATAGCTGGTGAGCTGCTCACTGTGTCTCCCAGAGAGACCTTTGTATCCAGTGGTGAAGGGGACCCCCAGAGTGTGCAGCTATGGAGTGGTGGGTGCTTTGCTGAAGTGTAGCATGAGGCGGTACCTTGCCTATTTCTGTGCCTCAAACAGCAAATGGAATTATGTAAACATGTTGCTCAAACTGTAAATAGCTGTTCTGCCCATATGACTTATTAATTCAAATCCTTTGATCCTGGAAGCCAAACAGAAAAGCCAGTTGGAGCAATTTCACCTGGAGACCCTGTTTCTTACCTTGCTTCTTTTTCAAACTTTCTTAAGGGTAAATACGATTTCTTGTGTTTATATGGGCCTTGGCTATTTGGAACCCTAGGAATTGGGGGGAGGGAGTCTTCGAATGTGCCCATAGTGGAAACATCCCCCTGTCTGGATTAGTACTTTATGAGGACAAAGGCTCAGCTTGGATATTTTGGTCTGTAATTTTGTGTGACAGGAGGACTGACAGATGCTTGTGGAAAGAAGAAATTGAGGTTGGGCTTTTTTGTGTGTGGTTTTGAGGACACTGAGAGCCTGTGCTAGGACACAGGTGGTGGTTTCAGTTTTAATCAGAAGGTAGGGGTCTTGCTTGGGTAGGTGGCAGATGCAGAAACTATGGTTGGCTGGCCCAGGCCCTGAACCTGGAAGAAAATTCTGAGGCTGCAAGTGAGGTAAGAAACCACAACCTAATTAAGTCCCTACAAATTGAAGTTCCCTTTAAACTGATTGAGAGGTGCTCTGCCAATAGCAGTGAAACGTGTGTGTCTGCACATAAATACCCATGCAGAGTACATTAAAAAGGTTTGAAGGCTTTTTGATGCCTGTAATTATATTACATGCAATAAAGTACCATGCCAATCCCCTCTCCAGCAAGAGTGTTGTTTTTGCCCCGAATTGTGACAAGCTTGAGTGCCATGAGCACAAGTCTTGCCCAAGCAGCACATTTACATAGATAAATTCAAGAGCAGCTGCCCCTCGGATGGTGAGGCAGATGGTGTCATGTCAAGAAACCTTCCAGAGGCCTTTAAGAATGGCTCCATGAGCAAAGGCCAGGCAGGTAAAGTGATATCCACCTCTACCTGGATAGTGAGTTGAACAAGGTGGGC